CGTAATTTTTGGTGTATAATTCTTTGTTGTTTCGTGTGGGTGTTTCAGGCCAGGCTATAATATTAGCCCGGTTTGGGACATTTTTGCTGTAATTTTTTTTGGTCGGTCGTCTGCTCTCGCAAGCCCCAAGTGTAGTTCCGTCACGGCTGTATGCGTGACTGGACTTTTTCACTGGGGGTTTGAGGGCAGTGCGATTCGAGTGTGCGTGTTTGAATTTTCTGTAGCGAGTGTTTGAACTTTGTTTGTGGTGTGGGGTGTCTGATTAGGTATTGTTTTGTGTTTAGCGGTGGTGTTGTGCGTGATTTTGAGCCGGGCTGTAATATTAGCCCGGTTTGAAACATTTTTTGAGTACGTGTTACTTTGTTTGAGCGCGCAGGTTTTGGAGACTGCCGTTCGCGCCAAAAGCGTTTACCACGCACTGCAGGGTATTTGATTCGGCGGAGGGATATTTTTTAGTCCTTCTCCTCACGATCGACGCCATTTTGTTTTTGGTTGTTGGCTGTTCGCCGACGGGACCTGGATCTCTTAAATCTAGGACCTAGACCTGCTTTTAGTAGTTGATAGCAGGAGGCTGTCTGTAGTTATTTAGGTGCGCGAGTGTATGGCTTTTGTGCGTGTTGTGTGTGGACCCACCCACTCGTTGTAGTGCGGGAGTCCTTTCACAAATAAATAAATAAATAAATAAATAAATAAAAAAAAAAAAATCGTGCGGTGTGATTATCCGTGTTGGAGTGATGTGAGTAAACAGCACCTAGTTAAGAATTCAGGGAACTTATTTTTCCGTCGGGTTATTTCCCCGACGTAACTTAGTTGTAATTTTAGTAGACTAGTCTAGGCCTAAGGCTTTTGCGATTATGGGGTCGCTATGACATATAGGGAGGCTAAGATCCCTATTAATAGGTGTTCTTTTGAAGAACTCCTCGCAGACGTGCCGGGGCTAGCTCCTGTGCAGGCCGGGATCATGTTGGGTCTCCGGACTGAACACGGGAATATTACCCCGGGATTATTTTGGGCGTCCCCAGGGCTAGTAGAGTCCAGGGGGCTGCTAGACAGGTTCGACTTTGCTCCTCGGGAGAGTACCCGGGGGGCAGAGGGGGTTCCCAATCAGAGTGTTTTTGTCACTCCGTCGGGGCAGCGTGCCCTGAGCACCAGCACCCCCTGCGGGGCCCAGGCCCAGGTGGGGGGACACCAATACCCCTATGATGTATATCCGTCTCCCTTGGTTAACCGAGGGGATGTATCGGGTAGGCCCCAGAGGGGCAGTCCCATCCCAGGGTATCAGAGGGGTCGGCTAGGCTTAGGGCCCCTCCCCTTTCCCGAAGAACCGATCCGTCGGGGTCCTGCTCCCAGGAGGGATAGGCAGGGGGGAAACGCTGGTAGAGTATCCTACCAGCCACTCCCCTTTTTTGATGGGCGCGGAAACTGGAGGGCTTTTCTCCATAAATTCACTGCGTTTGCGGACCAGCAGGAATGGGATGGGGCCCAGAGAGTGAATCAGCTAACCTGGTGTCTAGAGGGGAAAGCGGGAGATTATTTGAGCCTGACTCTGGAACAAGAGCCGGGTCTGAAGTATTTCCCGCTGGTCCGAAAATTGGCGCAGCGCTTCGATCACGGCGGGTTGACGGAATCTGCTCAACTCGAGTTTGCGTATGCCAGGCAGGGGCCAGAGGAATCCTTGCTTGAGTGGTCTGATCGGGTGTTCGGGTTAGCTCTCCGAGCATTCCCTGGGGTCCAGGGGTCCTATTCGCACCAGCAGGCGGTCCTCCGCCTGTGTCGAGGGTGTTTGAACCGGGAGGCGGGATGTCACGCGCTGGCTCAACATCCCGCCACCGTTGAAGAGGCAGTAGGGCATATACAGTGGCACCAGCATGTGCACCGAGCCATGTACCAGCGGGGGTGTCCTGTTAATTCGGTTGCCTTTGAGGATGCGGGGGAAATTGAAGTCCGCCAAGTGGATTTATCCCCCCAACCTCCTAGTCGACCTGAAGACGGACAACTCGCTGCAGTAGAACGCCGAATGGTGGAGCGCCAGGGCCGCCTAGAGGCCCGGGTAGCTAACATGGAGCCCAGGGTAGCTAACATGGAGCCCAGGGTAGCTAACATGGAGCCCAGGGTAGCTAACATAGAGCGGGATGTCCGGAGGATCCTAGATACCCTACAGTCAAGGCCGGCGGCTTCCCGGGAAAGAGCCAAGTCCCCGGGGGGTGACCGGTGTTATGCTTGCGGGGGGCACGGGCACTTCCGGAACCAATGTCCCACAGCTCGTGGCGACAGAGGGAATGTGCGTGTTTCCTTTGTCAACTGCCCCGAAGTGGAAAGCCCCAGCGGGTCGGAGGAGGAGACCAGCCCCCGACCCGAACGAGGCCAGCTAGTGACCGGGACGCCGGGAGGACGGGCAGTTATTCCCCAGGCAGCTGTTAAGCATGTGGGGGAGCCTGTTTCCGGTGAAACTGGGTTGAATGAAACCTCCACGAAACTTCCGATTCCTCCACAGGTGGTCGGGTCGCTGGACCCGATGCCGGGTCCCACCTCGGATCCGGAGTCGGGATCGGAGGAAAAAACGGAGGTAGTGGTTTGCCGGCTGCATTCCAGTTCCTCTCTTAATATCCCTATAGTGATAGGGGGTTTCCCCCTTAGGGCAATAGTGGATACGGCGGCTGAGGTGACTATCATCTCGGATCGGGTGCTTCAGCATCTGAAAACGCAGCCCAAAAGACTGCGGAAGGCCGTATTACATGCTCCAGGTAGGGATATAAGCATGAGGGGGTCAGTAGTGGGGCCGGTGAGCATTCTGTTGGGGGGACAAGAGTTCCCCAAGCAGTTGTATGTTGCACCCATTTCAGACGACATGTTGCTGGGAAGGGATTTTCTCCATAAACATAGGGCGGTGATTCACATGCATCATCCCAGGTTACTGCTAGGGGAAGTGGAAATTCCCATGCAGCATGGGGATAACCCCAGGCGGATGGGTGTAGCAAGGGTGTATGCCCGCAAGAGGGTAATCCTTCCTCCCGATGCCGTTAAGAGGGTGACTGGGGTTATCGACCAACGGATAGGGGATTTTGTGTTTGGACCACTGCTAAACCCTGTTCCTTATATGGGGCGGGGAAGAGTGCGGAGGTAAGAGAGTTGGTAGCCCGGACACGGGGTAACCGTCTCCAGGCTCTCCTAGAGCAGACTCGGGTTAACGCCCAAGCGCTCTATGGCCCGTTAGGTCGGGTGTGCACGGGAACTTCTGTTCCTGTAGCACTAAGTTTTCAGGGTGCGCTTGAAGGTGGGAACTATTGAGTTCCTATCTCCTTGTTTTTGCTACATTAGCTACGGGAACTTCTGTTCCTGTAGCGCTAAGTTTTCATGGTGCGTGTGAGGGTGGGAACTATTGAGTTCCTATCTCCTTGTTTTTGCTACATTAACAAAAACATATACCGTAGGTCGGGTGTGCACGGGAACTTCTGTTCCTGTAGCACTAGGGGTCCGTTAAATTTTCAGGGTATACTTGAGGTGGGGATTATTTAGTCCCTATCACCTTGTTTTTGCTACATTAGCAAGAACATATACCGTATGTCAGTAAGTTTTTTGGATTTTTAGTATTTTTTCCCTAAATGCCCGTTGGCATATGTTTTGGTTGTTCCAGGGGGGACTTTTTTCCAAATGGCCCGCTCCGTGCTATAGCGGAACTGACGCCTCCTTCCTGCGCCGGAGTGACCTAGGTGGGTTTCTGGTTCTCCAGTCACACTCCGAAAAACCTGAGTAATATACCCCTCGGGTAGGTAAGATGGCGTCATAGCCTGGGAGGACAAGCGGATGGCTCCCCGCTATGGGGGCGTGGATTGTTTTGGGTAGGGAATCTCCCCCTGGCAATTGTAGTGTTAAGCATTAAGTATGTTGGTTTTTTAATGAATAAAACTAAAATATTTTCATGTTGTATTACCCCGTGTTTTGCTCGTTTGGGGTCAAGTTTGGCATGTTTAATACATGTTTTTAGATTAGGATGTTGTACGGCCACAAGGGAGGGTAAAGCATAATTTATTTTTTTCCCCTCTGTCCGGTTGTGGGTAAGATATTTCACTGGGTTTATTTCAATTGGTCCTGGGTTTTTTAAAACGGGGGGGAATGTAGTAGGAGTTGCCCCCACCCCCATACAAGCCTCCTACCACAAGAGGGCGCCATTGGCCTTCTCGCACTGGGACGACAAGCTCGTACAAGCTTCTAGCATAAGAGGGCGACATTGGCCTTCACGGAGTGGGACAGCAGATTGAGAACTGACACAGACTGACTGGTACACGTTGAGATATACTCCGAGTAACTAGACCGGTAAGTGAACGTTCTTTGTCTCATTTGTAGCATTTAAGTATTGTAACTACGTAGCCTATGATCCATAGGTCAGGGCTACTTCAATAACAAAATCAGTCTAGGCCTACCAGTACCACGGGTTTAGGAATCATCGCGTTGTATGGTTGATGGTAAGTCTAGGTCTAGACTAGACTAGACAGTAGACTAGACTAGTGCTTATTATTGTAGATTTAGGCTTAGATCTAACATAGATCTAGGATTAGATTCCAAATTATCTAGGCCTACTTTGTGTTTTGCCGGTATATAGTCTAGGCAGTGCGGTATACATTGTTTCATGATGATAATAGCAGTCAACAATATCATTTTTTAACATGTCATGAAGAAAAATTGGACTCCACAGTGTCAGACCCAAGACCAAGTTAAATCTTGATTAAGATCTTAATGTAGATTTAGATCTAGTCTACATGATACTAGATCTAGGGTAGATGTCTACCTAGTCTCTACATTGCACCCTTTGTGCAGGACTAACTTAAATCAGTTAGAAGTTGGAGTTCGTCCCTTAGTCCTTGATCTAGACTACTTGTATTTTTGGGAGATCTAAATTGACAGGAGTTAGACCTAGATCTAATCTAGGCCTACATATAACATGTTATCCTTTAGACTAGGTCTACATGTAAATGTAGAATGTTATGCGTAGGCTCATGAGTCATGTATCGAACTCAATATATTGTTTTCATTCATTTCATTTTCTTCAGAGTCGGAGATGGAGTGGACCTGGACTCTTGAGTCATATTCAAGAAAAAGACCTCTAGTCTAAGACTTCTCTCCCATCGTGTCTTCAACGTCCTGGACTAACTTCTCATCCTACCTTGGCCCCGATGAAAGGGTTTGGATCTGCATAATGTAATCTGATTCAAGGTGCACTGCAAGATCCTACCGTGCTAAGTGGCCCTTTGATGTGATCTTCTTAGCAAAGTTTGAACACCGACATTACAATAAGGGTGAGGTTTTTTGTCTTCTTCTTCTAGACCTAAATGTACATGTACATACAAATAAATTACTAACTTGTTGTTGAGTTTTACATAGTGTTGATATTCATTTATGATAAAGGGTTAAGATGCCGGATATTAGATGCTACAATAACAAACTGAACATTCTGTGTTCTTAATTTAAGAGGAAGCCAACCATTACAGGTCAAAAACATAGATAAAATACTAAATCAGCCAGATTTTGATCAAAATTGTTCATAGAAGAGGGCAGCAATTAAAGTATAAAGATGTGATTGAAGAAACTCTAACGAGCATATGTACGATGTAAGCTGCTTTCTGTTTGTTATATACCATTTAAGGTAAAGTTTTCCCTTCTTTTCCCCAGAGGGTAATTTTAATCAATTCTCTGTAGACTCTACAATAGGATTTGGTTCAAGATCAGAGTATCCAAGATTAAGCTAAGACTGTTATAGAGTCAGATTACAAATGAAAGCTCAAGTTCAAGGTCAACACTTTCAAGATTAAGATTTTAAAGAAATGTTTGGGATCAAAATCAAAATCATGAAGAGTCCAAAATGTTTATTATAACAAAAAAGGTTCCAAGTCCCATAGTCCAATTGATACAATTATCACATTTTCTAAAACTTTCAATGTGGTTAGTGGCATGGCGGTTTGACCCAAACACATTTAAATTACAATTATAATCACTGATGAAAATGTATTTTTGTTCAGTTGAATACATTAGATTAGGTAAAGTGATAACTATTATTCTGAGAAGTATTTTTGCTCTCTTTATGGTATATGTATTTCTCTGTTTCAATTCTTAGGTTGCAAAGTAAAGATCTGTGGCATCTACATGAAACGCAAACTGGCATCTGGACTTTCATACCTAAGGTCTTGTCCATCTCTTCAAGTTGAAAAGGTAAGCGGTATCAGTTAACATAATTGATCTTATACTAGTATGTTTTGTACCTCTCATCATTGCCAAACCCCTACAGCAATCAATAAGCAAGACAATTTGAAAAAAATTAAGTACATTTCTCATAGTCCTTTTCAGAGGTCTAATTCCGATCTTACCCAATCTATTGTATCAAACATACACAAATGGTAATGATTTTTTTTTCTTCAAAAGCCTAAAAATAAATAATTTGTTATCTTTTCTAACTAAAACTGCTTTTGTATGAATATTACAAAAAAATATATATATATTATCTTTCTACTTGATGTATTTTCTAATAAAAGACATTGACATGACTAGAAATACAAAAGGTGTAGATAGATTGAAAAATTACACTAGTATTTATTAATATTTGTATTACATAACTTTCAATTTCAATTTCTAGACTGCAGAGCTTGAATCCCCTGCAACATTATTCTTCATATGAAACATCAGCCAGCCTAAAGATACAAGCTCCCTTTCCAGCTCTAAGCAAGAGGGACCACAATGCTAAACAGATCGTGGACTGGTCGCTTTCTCATTTAACTACGACTTCCAGTGAAACAGATTATGAAACTAACTCGTCTGAAGATATTGAAAGTGCTCCAGTCCGTGTACTAACATTTGACATTGAGTATGAGAATATTGGTAAGATTTCATCTAGTAATATTTTAAAGGAACTCTCAAAACTTTCTTGCTTTCTCGATCCTCATTAATAGCAACCCTTTACAAGGTCTATTTAGTAACAGCACCAGACAGAGGAGAGGAGAGAGAGACTGGTGAACTTTTAATATCTTCAGATGAGTTCATTTGAAAATCTGTTTCACCGGAAGTCGAAGTTAATTGAGAAAGCGACCAGTCCTCTTGCTAAACATTTTCAATGATACTTCCAAGAATTAAATTCTTTTAAATAGAATTGTAGAATCTTGCTTAAAAAAAAAAAAATTACAGTTGAAAGATAAAACTAAAGTTCTTATCCAAATTAAAGTTTAATATCTTGCTATTTTTTAAAGTGTTGTTACTGATCTTTAAATCTATGATTCTGTAATGGAGGTTATTGTTTCTAAATTTACATTCCATAGATAATTATCTGTTCATGGTGATGAATCTTAAAATATCAATTTGGAAATTTCAAAGAAGCAAATTCATCTGAGCAGCAGTGGACAAATTTGAGGACCTATTTTGAACTTTTCCTAGATGTTCTGTTGGCATGACACTGTGTCGATAATTACTTGTTTATGCCTCAACTGTATATTCTTATTCTTTGCATAAGAAAAAATTCAAAAGAAACAACCGAACATTGTGATTGCAGTGAAAACAGACTTGTCCGGCAGGAAATAATATATCAACTCGGATTTATGTTGTCCTTAGAAATCGTTCAAAGCTGATAGGAAAAAAATGATGATTAACTTCATATAGACGAACTGTTGTATCAAGAAAAACATTTTGACCAACTGAATGACCTTTAACATGACAATGTGTATAACCTTTTATATAGATTAACAATCATATGGGTAGACCAATCCTTACCACAAAATAATGTAACTCTTTTAATCTCCACCAATTTACATCGACTAGACAGTGGCAGTTATTAGCTGCAACAGTTTTAACAACTGGCTGTCACTTTAATAGCAGTACTGTCATTTGTGTCATTGAAAATGTTTATATTGTATCCCTTGAATTAATTTGCTTTTGCTCATCATATATAAAATGTAGATTATCGTGCATTAAAGCAAAATCATAACGATTAGACTTTAAAGCTTGAAAAATCTGTGTAAATTCTATTTTGTATTTAAGCAATGTACTGTTTGTCATTTAAAAAGAAAAAGGGGTTTGGGTAAAGAATGAATGGATGAGATTGGACGTTAACGCATGGTAGTAATTATGAAATTATGTGATTCAATGATGGTGTGTTTGTTTGATGGAAATTATTCAAAAGACCTATTTGATGGGAAGTATTCAAATAGCCTAGCAAAGCTTTTGTTAGAAGCCAGTTTTTATCATTTTATTTATTTTACTTTATTCCTTTATTCCTTTATCCCTTACTATTTTTCTTCCCCCCCCCCTTTTTTTTTGGGGGGGGGGGTAAAAAGAGTTGTGATGGGAGTGTGGTTGTGTGTTAATGAGAGAGAGAGAGAGAGAGAGAGAGAGTATATATGAATGGAATAGGGCACACATTTATGAACAAATATGGTAATTAATGGCCCCAGATCGGCTATTAATTTTGTACGAAATTCTCCTTTTTCCGATACATTCCAAAATTGAAGTTGGCCGTCATTTACGACTTTCAAGTTAAAAAAATGCTGAACATATCGGATTAATACTAGGATATTTGTTTCTTCTTGTCTTTTTTTTAACAGGGTTAGTGTTACTATTGAACATGTTATTCTGAGAGGCCCTGTACAAACTAGAGGTTGAAATACAGAGGAAATTGAACAAAGTTTAAATACATATTACCTATCATATCATGAATAATTGTTTTCCTTTTTCACACAATATAAGGACACACACAAATTGACATTTGACCAGGTAAAGCAATATAACATACTTCCTTTCGAATCGATTAACAGAAAATTAAAGCGGGAAAGCTGAAATACTCGTTTGGTTTGTTGTTACTGAAAAGAACCGTCTCTGGGATTTAAAAAAAAAATGATAACATTTATCTTAAAATTGATTTTAAAGCTTAAATCTGTTGTTTTTGTTTTTGTTTTGTTTTTCATTATTAAACAGGGCCTAAAATCGAAGTAATTTTAAGGCCCTTAAAATTGATCCGATTAATTTTAATATCAATTTCAAGGCCTCACAAAACACCCACTGACCTTTCCCTTTCCCTCTGCATCTCCCGGAGTTTGTATTTTTGTCGCTAAACAAATTAAATGAGGCCTACAAAATTAAATCGTTCATGAGAAGAAAAAAAAATCAGATATTTTAATCCCAACATGAAAATACTAAGAGTATCATATTTTATAGCATTCTCTTTCTGTTTATCTTTCTTAATTTATCGGTTGTTTGTATGTCTCTCTACTTTATGTATTCCTCTTTCTTTCTCCTTATATATCCCCACCCCCCCCCCCACTCTTTATCGCGCTCTCTCTGTCTGCTTCTTTCTCTTTACTTTAACTTCCAACGGATCTTACCTCCATCACTCTGTTTTCTAAACATAGGTTATGGGCCTGTGGAACTAAAAAGGGGGGCGGCAGAATGGAATCTCATCTCAAAGGTCTTCAAGCATCATGGAGAGGCAACCTCACTGTTTTGCTTTTACATGTAAGTATCGTTCCACGTTGTGTGCACTGTACACGTTCACTATTTTCCTATTTTCATCTGTATAACAACCGCCATGACGCTAATATTGTTCTGTATTATCGTTTTTAATATTCAATTTCGAAATTTATTTCCATTTTAGGCCCACTTTCTTTTAAACGTTTTTCAAGTGTTATTTTTTTTCTGCAAAATTCTCCCATTTTGCTTTGTAAGTTTTTCAAACTGTTTCTTTATATTTTGATTTCTCGTTTCAGACTCTTTTTTTCTCTGCCCCGGGTCTCTGTCTCAAATGTTGTCGATTGTTATCCCATTTCCTAGAAACCAGTTCTAAGACAATCACCCCCTGGGCAATCACTTCTTCCCCCCCCCCCCGCAAATTACCAACGGGACAAAAAAAAAAGACATTTATAATATTAATAATAGCTAGTTCTTATAAAGCTTTTCAGAACCGAAGGCCTTCTCAAAGTGCTCTACAGATATATAAATTATTACCCCCGTGGACAACCCCCCCCCCCCCCCCACAAATTAAAACCAACTTTAATATTATGGGTGGACTTCCCTTTTAATGAACGGGGGGGGGGGGGGGTTGTTGTCCTTGAGGCGTCATTTTCTGGGGGGGGGGGGGTATTGTCCTTCGGGGTAGTTTTCCGGGGGTGACTGCCCAGGGGGTAATTGTCCTGATACAAAATGCTCAACAGAATATCGAAACGTTGTTTAATAGCTTTATTTAACTGTTGATATATGTTTCTTCTCTCCCACGTGTTCCTATTACGTTACACATGTAGTTCATTTCGGTTTCCTGTCTGGATTTGGAATTCAATATTTTATGAATTTTTTTTTTTTTCTCGATATTTCTCGTTTCGATGCTTTGATTTTCAATATGATTTATTATCTTTATTCCTTGCATGCGATTGAGAATTTTATTTCTGTAATCACTTCATTGTTCGGCTCTTTGTTGTATTTTATTGCGCATCCGGACGCCTACCCCCTGGACATCCACCCTTGGATATCAACCCCCAGTCAACTACCCTCTAGACAAGTACCCCCAGGACAACTGACCCCTAGACAACTATCCCCCTGGACATCCACCTCTGGATAACAACACCACCTCAACTACCCCCTACACAACTTCCCCCAGGACGACTAACCCCCAGATAACTACCCCCTAGGATAACTACCCCTAGGACAACTACCCCCTAGAACAACTCCCCTAGAATAGTTGTCCGGGGGGTATTTGTCCTAGAGGATGGTTGTCGTAGGGGGTAGTTGTCCCGGGGGTGGTTGACTGGGGGTGTTTATCCGGGGGGGGGGCGGATGTCTAAAGGGAAGGTTTCATAGAACCATATTATTGTGCTACTATCGTTATAACATAGGCTCATTCACAAAAACTTATCGTGCTGCATTTTGGTTCAGTTTTTGTTTTCTTCTATTTAATTGTTATTTTCAGTTATCCTCCCACTCTTGATCCATTTTCTTAATTTTACCGCTGATTCTTTCTGTTTTGTATGTTGTATGTTTCTGCTCTTCGTCTGTCCCTTTCTTTCTATTTGAGGCATCTGAGGCGGTACTCACGGGAGGGGGCACCCCCCCCCCCCCTCCAAAAGAAAGTGCTTCATGTATACGGAAGAAAAGAGTCCCATTTTATTTCAGATAAGTGCTTCGTGTTCTTTTTAATAAGTGACCCGTCCCATTTATATGTGCCCTTATTCAAATTTGAAAGGAGCCATTTTTACTTTGACAAATTAACCTTTTTCTTTCTTATTAATCCTCTTTCCTCTTCTTATAAGTGCTCATTTACATCTCTGATGTGTGCCCGTTTTAATATCTGAATGATTGACTGGAAGGTTTATTGAGAACATTCCATGATCGCAGTCATACAACTGAAGTGACATGGATTACAATACCAACTATGTCGAAAGGATATAGACCACGGGGAAAAAAATGAGAATAAGAATACAATTCATTAAAGCCGCCTGTACACATTATTCAGGATTAATGAGCAAGAGAGGAAGCGAAAGGCAGAGGAGAGTAGCAGAGGAGTAGAGAACAAAGCTAAGTAGAGCGACCGAGGAAGGAAACGAGTTGGAGAGACAGAGATGTAGAACATGGTGGATAGGAGAGGGGGGGGGGGGGGGGGGGGTACACCATATGTTTATACATTGGCCTTAGCTGTTATAAATCACATATCTCTCTTTACTGACGCAGAATATATACAGATATATAACAAGTGAGGTATTGTAACACTTCTTGAATACTAACTAGGCATGAAATGAACATAATAGGGTGAAGGAAGAACAGGAATGTTGGAAGCGGGGAAAAGGAAAACTAGCAAAGGAATAGAATGAGACGAGGGAGATAAATTTAGAGAGAGAGAGAGAGAAAGAGAGAAGTTGTAGGTAAGAAGTATTGGTATATCATAGTATTAAATAGTTTG